CTGCTGAAGCCTGCCTGCTTAAAGTAGCTCTTGCAGACAGACAGCCTGGGCGTGTGGGGAAATGTTTCTGCTGTAATTACTCACTTGTTCTGGCAAATGAGAGGGAGAGAGAGAGAAGGACCGGGTGAAATGAAATCTGAGAAGGTCACCTCAGCTCTCTGGCTTAAGTGACTTTTGTTGGTCCAAGTTTCTGTCAAAAGGCGTGATGTTTGCGTTCATTTTTTCGTCATTCTACACATTTCTAGTCAGATGTAAGTGGTATGCAGTCAGCAAATCCATGGTGGACAGTACGCTGTGTGTCTGACCTACTGAGAAACAGGCCGGCAGACGGACAGACAGGAAGTCACAGTTCAGAACAGTCACATGGCAGTGAAGCCCAAAAAGCAGAGATTGAAGTGCGATGGAGGCAGGGGAGGAGTGATGAGAGCACAGTTGGAAGTGACTCTGTAATGTGCTGTGCAGGACTAGAGCATCTATTCTGCATCTACTCTGGTAAAAATTGTGCTGAAATTGTTTCATAGCAGCCCATTCAGGTAAAACAGGGGATACTTGGGCATGTGAGCCTCAAAGATCATCCTGGCACTTTTCACATCTGCTCCAGGATAATTAATACACATAAATCCAAACAAATGCCATTTTTACACAGGATAACTGGTAGCAACAGACTAAATCAAATTCTGAAATTTCAACACTACAGCCTCACACACTTATATTTGTAGTAGTGGTGAACAGGGCTTGTATTTGTCATATTTTATTGCCAATGATACATTGGGGCGGGCGTGTCGTGTTTTAATTTCTATTCTCACTGTGGTTTTGCAAAAACTTCTACCTGTCATTAATAGAGCAAAACTTGTGTCACTGCTGGAATTCATGTTATCCCAGCCTATCATGACAGATTGTTCACAATAACAGTGCTGAAGATTATTCCGTGCACATCATGTCGCAAGATAATAAAAATAGGGGCTGCGGAATGAAAGTCAAACACCCGTAGTTTGAATATTGCAGTACAGAGGATCCCCACTGGCTGAAAACACTTTTAACCATTTTATTTGGTGTAAATTACATTTTTCTGATGCCTTAAGTATAAAATGTAGAAGCATCAATATAATTAGTACAATGTGAAAAAAGATTCATTACTGACATGATTTGGTCCAAATTGTGCTTGACAAAGTAGATAAGACTTTTTTTTATCCTGTAGACAGTATGATCTGGATAAAAAAGGGAACTCGATACCTAATCTTTTTTTGTGTGAAGAGATAACTAGTTTTTCATTAACGCATCCTCTTGTTATAATTATACCATCACAGAGAGACTCTGAATTAGCTTCCTGCTGTGTCTGGTGTGATGTACAAATAAAGAATAGACATATCTCCTGAATGTGCTTCAAAGTCTCTTTTAATATATATTTTCCAGATATATAGGGGTTTTCTTTTCTTTTTTGTCACTGCTTAATTGGAACATGTAATAATTCATTTTTGTATTTTTATATTGTAATGGGGTAGCTTTGGACAAGAGAATGAAAAAGTTTTCACCGCTTTGAGTGGGATGCTCAGTGGTTCATAACAAAGATGAAAAAAAAATATGTAAAAAAGATTTTCCATTTCAAAGCTCTCCACATTGATGCAAACAGCAAACACGATTTAAATTTAGAAATAACAATGATTTACCGAACATATATTATATATATATATAATATGGATTTGTATTTACGTTGTAAAAAGATTGTGTTTTCATTTCGTCTTGTTGCACCGCAGCAAGTAACAGGCTTTCCTTGCA